CTCTCCCTCTCCCTCTCTCCCCCCAATGCAGCCGACTCTAAGTTGGGGCCTCATTAATTAGGAGGCCTGCCTGGTAGGTGGAGCCGGCTTGAATTAGAATGCTTAATGCGCTTGTCATTTTCTGCGGCGCGATTTGCTTGGACATATATATTTTTAAATTACATTATCACCCGGCTTTATTGCATCAGGATAATACAGTCTGATGAAAAAAACATCGGCCCCCAAAACACCGATTTTCCGGTCCTTCCTCTCGCCTTCACAACGCTAACGGTGATTTCCTCGAATCTTTATTTTCTTTCCTTATTTCTGTGATAATATTGCTCATTATTTGTACGTTAAGTCCGCAGCAGTTTGCACCGCTTGGGAGGGACGCAGGGCCAGGCTCCGGGAAGGTAAGGTAAAGAGGCGCTGTGAACCGCGTTGACTTCACGATTTTTTTTAAACGGAAAACGAGATTTCCCTCTTCCTTTCTCGGGGTCTCTCGCTCTCTCTTTTGCAGCCTTTCGGGGTCTCTCAGTTCACCTCGGATGGCAGCGAGGGGTCAGAGACTGGCTGGGAGCTCCCCAGCAAGCTCTGCTGGAATCTTGGGAGTCGTGTTGGGCTGTGCCAGGCCCGGCTGGGTTGGGACCGGAGCTGGGCAGGGACCAAGCGGGACAGGGCTGGGCCGGGCGTGGGGGATCCCTGCCGGGGAAAAGAAATGGTGGTCTGCAGTTTGACGCTTGGTGGGGTTCAGCTTTTTGCTCACTTTAGGCTTAAATGTCCCTGCTGCAGACAGAACAATATGGCGAAGTCGGGCTCAGGATTCAGCTCCGGATTTGTTTGGGGTTATTTGGGGTGGGGGGAGAAGTTACCTCTCCCAGGGTTTGGCATTTGGGTTGGGCGGGGTCCCAGGGGAGGCCACTGGGCCGGCTTACCTCGGACGGGTTTTTCTGGGTCTGTAGAGCAGGTTGTTCTGAGACCCCAGGGCTCCTGGATGGTCCTGCCTGGTTCTGCTGGACAGATCGTGGTTGTGTTCCAGGAACATGGGGTTGGGGGGGAGGAAGGAGGAGGGGGTTGGCGGTGGGGGCTAAGGGGGCCGGCTTCGGGCCTCTCCAGCCAGGGCTACCAGCCCAACCCAGCCAAGCCTTTCTTCGCTTTGCCTAGTACCGGGGGCTGATTTCATCGCCTGTTCCAATTCCAGCTGTTTCTGGAAGGCGGGGGGAGAGACTATAAGTGCAAGGAGGGGGCCAAAACGGGGGTTCGGATTGACTTCTGGGGGCCTAGGGCGGCCTGAAACCAGACTTATATTTGTGCCTTGGGGGGGGGAATGTGTAAATTTGTGCATGAATATGAACTGGTTGGATTGCGAATATGGATTTTTTTGTGCATATTCGTATATTTATATTTGGGTGCTTTTGTTTCTGTATTTTCTATATCTGGGTATTTTGTGTGTTTATGTGTTTTATATATTTGTGCATATTTATATGTGTGTTTGATTATTTGTCTGTGCTTATTTGTATAAATTCTGTGTATTTTGTGTATCTATTTGTAGGGTATTTGTGTTTTGTGTATTTGTATATCCATTTTTCTTATTTTCTTTAGTAGGCTGTAGAATAGGTGCAGAAGTGGGGAGACCTCCCTTCCCCAGAGATTTGTGCGGAACATCCCTGGCTTTGAGCTCGTTTCTGCTAAAATCCAGGGACACCCTCCACCCTACCCTTTTTGCTCAGGAGTTTGTTCCTTGTTCACTGACTTGGTCTGGCCCTCTGAGCCTTCTCTCCGAAGTCCTAGACAGGGAAGAATGTGAGATCTGGGGAAAGGCTTAGGAGAATAAGGAGGAGAGCCGGGGGCGCTAAACCCCAGAGCCACAGATCTGGGCGTGGGAGGGGGGACTGAGGAGGCCGAGAAGGGAGAGGGATCAGGGAGTATGGAGGCCAGAAAAAATGGAGGGTTAGAGCAGAAGAGGATAGAGAGTGGGAAAAGTAGGACTGAACGGCTCCCTGGCTGTCTCACAGCTTGGAACTCGAGTTCTTTGACCCTCCCTCCATCCTTTACCACCCCTATCTACTTCCCAACTGGAATGCCTGGGGAGCCGCCCCTTGACAGGACCCATTTTCGGCTCTCTGTTTGTAAACACTGAGAAAGAAACCCGAGGTCCAAGAAAAACTCAAGTACTGCGCAGACCGCACAGACTCAGGGCAAAGGGAGCTTATATATTTTCGAGTCTAGGGCCTTTCTACAATCTTTTCTTCTTGGTCTTCATGCACGTGAGTGATGCGTGCTGAGGACTTTAGTCTACTCCCTGGAGAGCTCTGTCTAAAGAAAGTCTGACCCTTGAACCCAGTACCTATTCTCTCCTTCTGAGTTCTCATCTCCCTTTGACTGACCTCTTTTGGAGAAAAAAGTTTAAGAAGTGAAAGAATACTGAACCTAAGTTTCAGACGTCCAAGAGTAAGAGACCGGTTGCTGTCTCTCAAAGTTCCCCACCCCCTACTTCCCCACATCTCCGGTCTGTTGGGCTGAGAGACTGGGAGAGGACCCAGGCCTCCTTTGGGATCTATATATTCAAAGTACGAATCTCTAGTCCATCATCGCGCAAACAATTCGTGGTTCCCTAAGTCAGCCAAGAAAATAGGGGCAGAGACCAGTGAGTGTGGGGTACTGTAGGGGTAGAGGGGCGGGGCGAGGGGCCTGGGGCGGGATCTGGGGCAGTGTGAGTGAGGGGTGGGTGGGGGTGACTGGGTAAGGGTTGGCTTTCGGAAAAGGATTGAAAGCATGCTGGGCCAATCAGAGCTTCTGGGTTTGTTCAGTCAGTCTTTTTCTCTTCTGTTCTTGTGTTTGTTTATTTGAAACCAGGCTTGTTTTCTCTGAGTTGAGCTGGCGCTTGGGGATGCGCGGAGGACCAAAGGGCAGGAAGGAAAGAGGAGAAAGGAAGTCTTTCGCTGGTTGAGGCTGATTTTGTAGGGAAGGAGGTTCCCTGCCAGGTGCTGCCCGGACCCGAAGTAGAGTTGCACCCCCCGACACACCCCTTCTCCCCAGTCTGCATTCTCCTTTCTCAGCTCCCCCAGCCAGAGTAGCCCCTTCCCTTCGCCCCGAAGGGCCTGAGCTGAGGAAAAGTAAGGTCCTTTGGGTTGAAAGGCTAATTTCTGATGAAGTCTGCAGGAGGCTAAAGAGAGAGTGCCAGAAGGATTGGACAAAGACTTAGAGATTCGGACAGACGGGGGAAAGTAGTGGTGCGGCGGGTGGAGGTTGGCCAGGGTTCTTAGTTGGACCATTATTTCCCTAGCCCCCAATCCGAGTCTTAGTTCCTTGCTGGGGCCTCTTAACTTTTCCCTACATTTTGTACCCGAAGTCCAGGTTAGATACCTGAGGGTACTGAGTTCTGCCAAGCTCAATCTATAGTAATCTGGGGCTCTGCTTCATGGTGAGTCCGGACGGAGGAGGGAAGGGAGTGGAGGAGAGAGGGTCATTGACCTGGGCACAGGAAAGCAAGAGACGACTTGAGTGGAGGTGGGCAGATAAAAGTAGTGAGGAGGAAAGAAACCCTTTTACAATCCGATTCCAATTTTCTGTCCTGAGAGTTGCCCATCCTTAGGCAGTCGAAATAGCTTTACTCTCCTATTTCCCTCGCCAGCTACTTCCTCTGGGTAAGGGGACTTTCTCTGTCTTCAGCCCATCTTTAGGATGTGGAAGTTTCAGAGACGATCAACTAACTCTTCCCTAAGCTGGAGACCCAACTTTTACTTCCCTTTGAAAAGTTCTACCAAGTACTTCCCTAAGTGTCCAGTCTTAGAACGCCTAGGTCGCTGTTCTCTTTGACTCGTTGAGAGACTGGCAGACTTGTGCTCCCCAATATTTCCTTCTGAGACTGATTTAAATTGCTGCTTAGATCTTGACCAACCAGCCAAGCTCTTCTGCCCTTTAAGCAAAGGCCCAATATTTTTCATCCTTCATTCCTTTCCTCCTCAAATGACTGTCTAAGCCAGGGCCAAGCGAGCCATTGGAGACCTAGAAAAGACCTCTTTTTTTTTTTTTTCCAATTGACGCTGGGTCACCACCTCCCCACAGGTTTCTGGCCCCAGGGCCAGAGGGGACATACGGAAATTCCCAATTGACGAGGCTTGGGAGCTAGAAAGACTCGGGATACAGATTTCTGATTTTCGAAAGTCACTCCAGAAACCATTGTCAGCCCACAAATGTATGATATAAAGTAAAATGGAACTTTAGCAAATACTATAGTATGGTCAAGCATAGTCTAATATACAATTTACCTCCTACTTTCCACCTTCTATCTTTGACCTCCCCACTCCCCAA